AATTGAATTTGCTGTAAATATGAGACTCACAAGCGCTTCCGGACTGAGTACCCAAGTATGCAAAGCTCTAGGTGATAGAACCTCAGCTCTCAGAGCTGTTGGAGATAGAATCCGAGCTATAAGAGCTGCTGGTGAAAGAATAGTTGCCACGAAAGCACGAGGTGATAGCGTTTGCAGCTAAAAGGATTACGGTACAGAAACTGTAATTAGAAAAGTGATTACCGTACTCTTTAAACTTACCATTAGCGCTTCTGGATAGGCGAGTTCTGTCACGAAAGCGTGTGGTGATAGAGTGAATGCCTCCATTACGCCACCTTTTCCAACGAATGTGGTGAAAGCGTATGGTCGAAGAGTTTCATACAAAACTCCACCGATACGTTCTTCATGTTCTTCTCCTTCTGCATGCCCTTCGCCATGTGTTTCTCCTTCAGGACTAACTTCGCCAGGTAAGTTGGGGTATCCCGGATCTGTGTCATGCGTTTGGCGTTTTTGACGTCTCACTAAAAGGTAATTGAAAAAGTCAGAAAGTTCGTAGCAAAAACTATTTCAACACCTAATAAGGTTATATTAATGTGAAATGGACATTTGGCACTACAGTATGCTGAGCGCTTTTTAGTGGCATGTCGTAGCTTGCACGTACATGGCTAGTAAGCAAAAGTTGCCAAACGGTCCTGCATAGAAATACCCAGACATTGTTATTGTCATGCAAAACGGCTTACAACCAGCACAGTATTCAGTCAAAATTTAAGAGCAAAACAGACTTCTTCGCTTGCATTATAGCAGATTTGTCCTCCCGTTACCGTAATCTAGAGCGTCATAAGTACAGAAGTATCCATACAGTAGATACCCGATAGAGGAATCTGTTTTAAGCTGGAGCAGGCCGCATCGGTAGAGCACGGTAACATTTGACGCGAAACAGAGTGAATGCTAAATTCCGTGCTCTGCAGCAACCGAACCTGCTCCAGCTCAAATTAGATTACTTCACCGTGTTTGCGACGGTTACAACCTTATGTTAGTTGCTGTACATTTTAGCTTTCTTCCATTCTTCGAAATAATTGATCTGATACTTTTTCATAGCATTTTCAGAGATAAACTTGACCTACCGCTGTCCCACATCGGCCATTTCGGACGATCTAATGCTGCCATTGCTCGAATATCTCTTTCCAGTCGCTGCACTCTTTCCAATTCGGGCATAGCTCCAAGTTTTGTCACATTCATACCGTATAGATCTTGGTCTAGAAATTCAACATTTGAAAAATTGAAGCATTAGACTGATTTCAAAAGACCATTTTTGCTATAGATGAGATTGAGCTGATCTTCTG